ACTGAATGGGAAACGGTTTTGGCCGTGAAAGGGCTGTCAAGAGAATACCACTCGTCGTGGAGTATGGAGATTTACAGGTAGGAAGGGACTAGTGCACTGTACTTCCAATTGAAACAACTTTACGGAAGGTGGCTTCAAAACCGAGAAAACCAAGTTGCCGGGCAACACACGGTTTGGCCGTCAAAGGCTTTTGCGGTGAGCTGTTGTGTAGTAATCTGGCTGTGCGAGGTGCTGATTTTCGGCCCACATGGTACTTGGACAACCGTAACTTGACAAAACACTTATTATACCTAAAAAAGGTGGCATAGTTTAACCAGGTGGAAATATTTTTGGCCGGCGTAACTAAATGGGAAACGTTTTTGACCGTCAAATGCTGTCAAGAGAATACCACTCATCATGGCTGGGAGGTGCACACTTTACAGGTAGGACGGATCAATGAACGGTACTTCCAGTTCGAACAACTTTGCGATAGGTGGCTCTAAAGCCAAGAAAAGAAATTGTTATCTACACAACTCGGGGTGTCAGCGTTTCCACATCCAAAAGGAGGCTGAGCAAAAAAGAAAGCACACCACATAAACTTCCATACTCAATCGTCGATTGTCCAGTGATCCCAAGTTTCATTGTAGTTTTCCTTAGATTCATATTTTTCACTTTTTGAACCGTTCGAATCTTTCTTCATGAAGTACAGACTGCGTGCCATGCTGGTCCGGAAATATCATCGACACGTACGATGGGGACGAAACTTCTTTCGAGGGCATTCCTTCAACGAAATTCGCACTGCATACCCGAGAGTGTGGAATGGCCTTTCAGTGCGAGCTGAGATATGTAGGCGTTACTGGTACGAAAACAAACGCAAAGCGCAAAGCGGCAGTGTAGAATATGTCAGCCGTGCCGACACAGTGGCAGACATGATCGGGAGACCAAATTTCTCGCGTCGTACGGCATGGGTCCATCGCGGTCGCTGTCCCACAAAACATCGTCGAGGTGAAAAACTGTGAAACTGCGTCCCCACGAGATACGACGCATTAATATTGGAGCACTTAACGACGCGGCAGTTAAGGCTGTCAACCCAGCGCAACCGCACCGCTCCGACTTCAATGCGTACCAACGTACGCGCGGCGTGGTTTCGTTTCGCTCCGGCTCTCACTGCCTACCTTCGGTAACGGCCGCGCGGCGGCGCGCCGGTCGCGTCGCACGGAGTGAATAGCAGGAGAGGAAGCTGGGACATTATGTCTGCTCGCCCAAAAAATTGACTTCAAACTGCGTAGAGAACAAGATAACTCCAGTAATGGCTGGCCACGGTAGCGACACCGGCCACCGAAATATAAGCTGCAGTAGAGTTAGGTCCGAAACTATATGCCGCAGTCATATACTTGTCCGATCCAAAGCCACAGCCAATTTAAAGTCTAATCCAAAGCCACAAGCAGCTTCTGGAGTCTGGATTCTTTTCCGTCCCGTCCGTGCAGACAAAGGCCTGTTTGAACCTTCAACGTGCGTGGGTCAAATCATTGTTTAGGTAAGTTTTCTCGATTTCATATTCATAATGCATGCCCGAAAAGTATCATCTACATGTGCTGGATGATCTTCCGAGCACCGTCGCTTACGTTGCCACCGTAATTCGGATGATATTTAACTTTTTTCGACGCTTGAGCGGTCTCCGCGATTTCGTGTCGCGCCGCAGTTCTGAGGGATGCTGGCTGCCTGCGGGAAACGATCGCTATCGCTTGTGGAGGCTGTTCGTTCAAGCCTTGCGTAAATGCAAGTCGCTATCTCGAGAATCCCGTGAATGTTCTGCGATACCGGAGCACTGCAGAGACGCTGATCAGATTGTTTCGAAAGTTCGCGTTGCTATCGGCGAGCCCTTCGGACACGCTGTAAGTGCCAGGCGCGCTAAACTGAGCTGTGCTGTCAAACGCTTGGACACGGATCTTAGAACGAACGCCTTGAATGTGTTCGGGACGGCGACACGCGTGAAGAATTGGATGGTTTTTACTTTGACGTGTCGTCTCGTCCTTTCTCACGCTTGCGACAGCGTATCTTGGTCAGCGCGCGCTGGCTTTTTGAGCTGCGTCTAGCGGGATGGCGCGGTTGGGGTGCTGGTGTTTAGCGGGTTTCAGCGGGTTGTTAGAACACGCTCCAAGCTGAGCGTCGTCGTAGCGCTCGCGTACGGCGTGTGCCCCGCGCCGGCCTGCTCTGCGTGTCGTCGGTGTTCAGGCGCGCGGGCCTAGAGTTGCTTAAAAGTGTTGACAGGACCCTGTTAAGCTCGTCACTTCCGTTGTTTTCTCCCTTACGGGCCCTGCATATATGTCTAGCCTTGCGAGCCACCCAGAGTACTACTACTGCAGCTAATGAAGATTATTATTGTTTGCCTTAATGACGTTTTAGTTTACCCCGGTCGTATTCGTGACTTCTAGAACCCGGGGGTGCACACATACTTTACATGGCTGAGGAAAGAGGTTATACGTAAGCAGTGATAGAGTGCAGGCGAGCTCGTAATTAATCGACATCTTGTAAACCCTGAGATGTTCGTTCGTTTTTTTAGCGTTCCCCATATCAGGGTTTACAAGATATAGGTTATACGATTTGATTAAAATGCTCAAGAAAGTTGCAGTGTAAAAATCGCACACCTGGCAGCTGCTCTCGCTTGTATAGTGGACAGCTCGCAATGAAAACTCACACGTCTGTCCCTTTTCGCACTCCGAAAACGGAAGCTTTGCCATGGTCAGCACATTAACATTCTGTGGTGCTTAGCTGGTGGGGGCAGTAATGTAGGAAGGGGGGCGGCAAGCAAACAATTTTCAAGATGCAATTGCTTCCCCCCCCCCCCCCACCCCCCCACGCACACACACACAGATGTTCAAAACTTCCGCTGCTGCCGCACCCAGCCATGACATCTATCGTCTACTTACGAACGTGCACATCATTCTATTAAAAAAAAAAAAAATCTACAGTAACAAATGGCAGGGGACCAGTGGCATACCAACTTGTTTTTGAGTGAGGGGGCAAACGACACCCCCCCCCTCCCCCCCCCCCCCCCCCCCCGAGCCGGGGGTGCGGTGCCGCCGGCCAGTGTTTGCCCTGCCCTGTGGCGACTGTTTAAGGGGGGGGGGGGGGGGGGCTGCAAAACACATTCCTTGCCCCCCCGGTTGGTACGCCCATGCTAGGGACTTCTCAAGCATTCCCTCATCTATTAGTGTTGAAAATCTTCAGAAGACGTGTATAGTCTTGTGCTGAGGTCATGAGGGCAGTGGCATAGGAAAGGGGGGTTCTTTTTTTTAATAATATTGTTTACTGGAAATGACTGATTTTCCTGCAGCCCCCCCCCCCCCCCTTTTCCTATGCCACTGCCCCCATCACCTAAGCACAAGACAATACACGTCAGAAATTGCACGCTGCTCTAGTTTCTTTTTTTTTTCTTTCGTCAATAAAAATATTTAACCCCTACCAAAAAAATTATCGCCAGAACTTTTTTTCTTTTCTTTCCTTTTTTTTTTTTTTGGGGGGGGGGGGGGGGTGACGTGTTTGGGATTCTCAAAGTTTTGGAGTGGGTACAAGATACCCACCCCTTTCCCCTAACCCCTCCCTCCCCCTGCGACAAACACATACACATACATGGATTGCCTGTGTCCGATCCCCGTGGCGTGAGTACCGTTTAATCTGAAGTGCACCACCCAATGCTAATTAATTTTGTTTTAATAGAAGCAAAAACATTTGCTTGAAATTATTATAATTCTGAAACCAGAACCACCAATATTTTTATAAACTGGTCGAGGCTCAAAGCCAGTGTCATTCACAACACAAAGTTGAGAACTTCTAAACCACACTGTTCATAGCGCGACAAAATCGCACCACACGCGAAGTGCAGATAAATAAAATCCAACACACTCAACGGCTTCGTGCCAACGCCTTCGTGCCCTAATCTCCTAGTACCCCCGTACAGCGTCCGCGCCTCCGCACGCAATCCACACTCCCACTAGAGTCTACTCAGACACTTTGAGTGCGGATAAGAATCCAACACAATCCGCACTCGGAGTGCGGATAAGATTCCAAAATTATTCACACTCGGAGTGCGGATTAGAATCCACCACTATCCACACTCGGTGTGCGAATAGGGACAGCCACAAGCCAACTCCCACACCTGCCAGGCGCTCTCGCTTGTACAGTGGAGACACATTCAAATCAAGGAGATCCAGCTTTGAATGTGAAGGCTTCCTACTTCAACTTTTAAATACTTGAGGTTCTGTTCAAATTGAAGGGAGTCTCTTAAAGCATTTTTGGAACCATGTCCAAAACCCAGTGCTGGGTACAATTTTAGTCTAAAAGGCTGGTCCACACTGTTGCTACCCGCTACGACTGAGTCTGACAAAACCAGTCTTCAAGCCTCTTGTGACAGCTTATGATCGTGCTGCGCAGCAGCAATGTTATTCGTAAGCAACTTAAAACCCTGTTTTGTTCAACTTGGTCATAGTCGGTTGCAACAGTGTGAACCAGCTTTAACACCTTAGGTGAATGTAATCAACAGTAGCTTCAGGATAAACTTGCGCATTGTACTACCCCAAAGTATTTTGACAACATCTCCGGTGTTGATTCTTGATTTCTATCTCAGCACTACAGAACACGTCAAAAGGCTTGTTGATTGCTGTGCATGTGCCTATCAAGCGAGCTGTGCTATTTTTAGGTGGTGTTTAATTTGTTTTGAAGTTCCCTGGATTTTTTAAGAGACCGGTAGGTATCTAAGCTCCATATGCACACTGTTCTTAATACAATTACTTCATGCAGAATTTAATCTTTCTTATTTGGTTGAGTTTAATGGTGGTGTCGTCATGGTCTTTGCACTGTCGACGACAAGAGAAGCGTCATGTTGCACTTGTTCTTTTGTTGATCCGTGAAGCAAGTTCTGGTTTCTTTTTTGTTCCAGAATGTCAGTCTGAGTCTTGTTCATGATGTTGCAGGAAGTCTGTATGATGACGAAAAAACTGCAGGTGACTAGAAGCTGCCGAAGAGCTGCCAGTCCGGATGGCAGCTATCAACACGGCAAGGGCCTGCAGGCGCATCAGCCCTCCCCCCGTTCCTCTACTGCCATTGGAGACAGGATGCTTTGTAAAAGGTGAAACAGGGCCCTTGCACTCCTTCCACAGCGCCCTGCTGGATTTATCTCACATTTTGATTTTCAAAACAAACAACATTACAAACTGTAAAATACCGAACAAACGCCCACTCTAAATTGGAGATAATCATAGAGAGCTGGGGGTTGAGCACTTGGTAGGTACGATAGTTGGTAAGTGTTCATGGTCCCTTGCTTGCTCTGTGCACGGAATTACGAATAGCTGCATTTGCGGAGCTAGTTAATTATGCAAACACAAAAAAACAAAGCGTGACCTTTTTTTGTTTCTTTTTTTTACAAAGAAGCATTCTGAAAAGTGTTCGATTAGCATTTGCTGTTACTAAAGCCTTCAATTTACTCTTCGGAGTTAGAACAAAAGAGCAACCCATCTTTTCTTGTACACCACTTTCTATGGCAATAAAAAGAAAGCTGGGGCGGGGGGGGGGGGGGGGGGGGGGCAGGGGCAGGCAGGCAGGCAGGTGCAAATTGCTCTGTGTTAGCGCACCGCGTAGTTCTGAACTTCTTTTGGTCTCGGTTTGAGTTTGGGTTTTGGCATGTCAACCACGCAGTTGCTACAGTGCATCTTTTTTGTACGAGGATTGCAGTTGAGGGAGTTGAATTGGGATTGCCGAGCATGGGAGGCACATTCACATCTCTTTACTTTCGGGTTACCCTGCACTGCCGGAAGGCATTATTGCAGGGGGGGTGAGGGGAGGGGAGGTATGTAGTCAGTCGTGAAGGTAGAAATACGCCCGTGCATATGTACAAAAAAAAAAAAAGAAATGCAGGCACACAGGTAAACACATTCAAAAACAAAAACGAGCCCAGAATAAGTTAAAAGCCACATTGGTTGCTCACATTCTATAGTCGGTGACAGGTCAATAAGGAAGTGGAAGCTGCTCCCACCTTTTTCCACTATAGCAGACTGAACCCTGGAGAGGAGGCGCCCTCCTTTCCAGCGTTTGCTCTGCTAAAGGGGAAAGAGGTGGGAGGAGCTTTCACTTCATTCTTGACCTGTCACCGACTATAGGTACCTGCCAACGTTCCATGTTTTTGGACGTAAGCTAACACTTTGACCAGTAGGATGAATTGGGCTGTTGTATATTGGGTGTATCAAGGAGGGGCCAGGCTCTTTAAATCGACTGAAAATTCGGTTTCTTAACCTATCGCACTACGACTTTGTGCAGCGTTGCTCAGGGATGGTGCATATTTTTTTGTAAAATTTGCAAAGAGCGAACTTACCTGAGGAAAAAGTAAAGAAAGAAAAAGGCTTAGCTCCTATGGAAATGCGAAAAAGCCAAAGGTCTTCAAACAATATGGCGCCGTTTCACTAGAGAGACAAAAGATGGCGCAAGGGGTCACGACGCCAACTGCGCCAATGTACGAGCATACGGCGTCAAAAGCTGGTGTCTTTAGCAGACAATCTTTTCGACTCAAAAGTGGCACAAGCTTTTCTGATATCAGTTGCCAATGCATTATTTTATTATCCTTACTGATAAAACATATTGAATGGACACATAATCGATTAGAAAAGTGGTTTGTTGGGATATTTTGGCTGTTTTTTTCGGAGTACCGATGTCATCTGCTTTGCAGTTCCTTGTTGTTACCGCGCCTGTTTTTGTTTCTGCGACTGTCGCCGCCTGCGGAATGCACTCTACTTTTGAGTTAAAAAGATTGTCTGCTAAAGACGCCAGCTTTCGGTGCCGTATGCTCGTTCGTTGGCGCAGTTAGCAATGTGGCCGCTTGCGCCATCTCTTGTCTCCGATGCGAAATGGTGCCGTATTGTTCGAAAACCCTTGCCTTCGCCGCATTTCCATAGGAGCTAAGCCTTTTTCTTTCTTTACTTTTTCCTCAGGTAAGTTTGCTCTTTGCAAATTTTACAAAAAAGTGCACCATCTGTGGGCAGCGCTGCAGAAGTCATAGCGCGATAGGTTAAGAAACCGAATTTTCCGGTCAATTTAAAGGGCCTGGCCACTCCTTGATACACCCAGTAGTTACCACATATGTGTGCAGGTCACTCATGCAGTTGTTAATGACCATTGGTACCCAACTCAACCTCGTGCAGGGTTTCTATGAAGTGGAAAAATGGTAATGTTGAGGAAGTTGGCGATTGCAAAAGCCTGAAGATTTCCACCCTAATCACCATCGATCAGGGATATTCAGCATTTCTTTGTCTGAATGTCAGCAAAAGACACGTGTGGTGTGACACATAAACCTTCCTACTCAGGAACTCAGCCAGCTTGCCAATGTAGATCTCTGCTTGGAAACTATAGAGTCTTGGGAGAATCCAGAGATACAATTTAATCTCGAAGTGTATGAAAAACACAAACTTCTGTACTCTAAATGAAGTGCTGCTGCTTATGGCAGTGCTGCTTATGGCAGTGCTGCTTATGGCAGATTTGTGGAATGGTTTCATAGTGCAACAGGTTGTCTCTAGAGCTACCCATTTGCTCCTGAATGGACTTTCCATGGGATTTTTCGACAGGCTGTGAACATCAAGGCTATTGAGGTAGTTTCTGCTGCGGGGAAGAGAATATCCCTCAGCTTGACTGTCCACAGAAGCTTTAGCAGCCAGTATTTTGGATGTTGCATGAGCAATGACGTTTGCCTTTAGCTCATATTTTTTGCCACAAGTTGTCAACCAACCGCCAGGGTTGTCTCATCCGACAGCAGGACATGCCGGCTACTGTGGCGTCATTTAATGCTGTCGCTTAGAGACCACCTTTAATGAGTGGGTGGTATAGAATGCTAGAACGCGGAGGTGCATTCCAGACACCATGCTGTTGCATCTGCTGCTGGGAAGTTCTGATTGTTTCTTATTGCAGTCATTACAATTTTCAGATTGTTTCTTTTCTTCAGTGGGAGCTCATGAAGGTGGCACTGTGCACAGAGGGACAGAGTGGCTGACAGTGAGCTGCCCAGGACAACCTGCTGGCTCTCGTGACCATCTCCGAAAGCCTTTGGATGGGCTAATTGACAGGCATGCCTGGACATTTATAAACTGTAAACACAATCTAGACTACCTTTGAATTACGCCTTGGTCTAACTGCTGTTGCCAGGATACTGTGTTTGGCTGCTAGAATTGACCTGGATATGCTAAGCGGCACATGTTGCCAAGTAGAGACACGCTGAGACGCTTGTCCACAAACTGCGCTTCCCAGTCCATGAGCCACCAAAGACCCAGCCAAAGAGATCCCAAGTCAAGTCAAAGTTTTCTGTTAATCTTGCTAGTAGCAGCGTCGTAGTCGTTAATTAAAATGTCGGCGTTGCCCCGCTCATTGCGGCACACCGAGCAAAGCAGAGCGAAAGAACGGAGATAAAGACTACCAAAAGTGACGTCATTAGCAGGGTCCGACAACCCTTGCTTGCCAATAGGCTGACTTGGGGATGCCAACGATGATGTCACAAAGCTTTGGACAGGTTACATGTGGAAGAAAGGCTCAGTGCATGCCCTGCTATAATTGCTGCACATATTGTTAAAATAAAGGCAGTTTACAATGTCTTTTGCCCAAGTTTAGTGCGATTACTGAATTAACGAGCCAAAATGCTATGTAAGTCTGCTCCTAACTCAGATTTCTTACAAAGTGCTTCAAGCTCCCTTTAATGCTAGTTTGACTTATTTGCACAAGCCTGTGCCAGTGCACAAACTAGAGCCTATACATTGCTGTACTATTTTACATTTAATGCACTGCCAAAGGAAAAGGTTCAGATACAATTAAGTCCAAGCAGCTAAACCATTAATTTGAATGTGACATACAGTAGACTCTCATTATTTCAAACTCAAAGAGGCCCCGAATTTTGCATGAATTATCAAAAGCTCAAATTATCAGAAGTTCAACTAAATATGTTGCAAGATAAATTATGATTTTCTATATGGATGGCTACACATACAAAACAGATATTTCATGATTTCCTCTGCACAGGCCCATTAATCATAAGCTGGTATGCCATTCATGAAACATTGGTAAAATGTATGACACAAGTTTATTCAACCCTCAAAAATGTTGTTTATCAGGGACTGTTTAGACAGCACATGACACCTTAAAACAAAATTAAGTTTGTTCAACCAGAAAAAAGTTGTCTATTAGGGACTGTTAAGCAGGGACCCATGAGTAATGGAAACGGGCATTGTGCTGCAGTTTCTATAGCAACTTGTGTGAACACTGCAATATAAAGCCATGCCGCCACATCACAGCATCCTTGCAAATTGATATGGAAACTGCCGCGCGGCGCCCGTTTTTGCCGTTCATGTGTCCTCTGCTTCAGAAACGTATATAGAGATAGTTTAACCATTCATTTGGATGTATAGAAGGCAAATGAGGAGGCGCCTTTCGCTTAAGGTGGGCTGGGCATGTTCCAGAGCATTTTCACAAATTCGTATGTGGCCAACCAGCAGCCGCGCATAATATCCTGGCAGTGGTTGTGAGAAACAAAATTAATGAGCTCGTCGGAGTAACTCTCGGTGACTGGGGTGCAGTGATGTTTTGATCGTGGTCATGCAAAATCACGGTGGAAGATATAGAAAATATCAAAAACGTGCGCAACCTGCTGAACGATTGACGTATTCCGTACACCAGGCGTCGAAGCGATCAGACTCCATTTGAGCAAAACAGAAATCAAGCGGAACATTAGTTTCCTACATCTACTTGCATAACCATAATCGAAACAGTGCATGCACCATACTTTCAACCATGGAGAGTTACTACATTTAACTCCAATGCACTTATCAAAACTGTTTCTCGCTACCATAGCTAGGGGATTATTTTCAGCTTCTCGTTGGCCAAGAGAGATTGTCGAACCCTCTATCTGCGTCTGATGCAGGCCTTGGCTCTGCTTGCTCCTTTCATATACCAAGATCTATATGTACGGCTCTGCTCTGCTTTAGCCCTGTAGAGTGTGCTTTTTACTGAGCACCAGTGCACCGCAGGAAAACAAAGTCTGTGAAAGCAAGCTTCACAGGTGCTGCTTCTCCGCAGTGCACCGGTGCTCGGAAAGAAGTGAGCTCAACAGGGCCGCGAGAATAAAAAGTATGAATTACACGAAAACGTCGTTCAAATTAAGCGGCTAATGAATACATTGAAAACGTAGCGGGACAGCCCAAGTTTTAGAAATCTGTTTGACTTAACCAGAGGTATTAAATCTCCGAGTTTGAATTATCGTGAGCCTACTGTATACTCTAAAGGAGATATGGCTCACTTGATTGTGCTTAATATCACTGAACGGTTACGCAAATTTTAATTTGCTAGTTTTATTTCTCAAGCACTTGTTGTGTTGGGTATTCAAATCAATGCAAATTTTTACTTTGGTTCAATTTATGGGAGTTTTGTTTTATATATCATGTGCAGTAGAAAGGTGGGGAGCTGGGCTAGGTAGTAAACACGTTGCTTGCTGATGTTAACCATGTATGTCATATACAGCTTGTTGTGATTGTGTATCGATTTCGAATCCTCTTCTGCTCTTTATTTCAGGCTGCTCTTATATGCACCATGAAGATATTGAAGAGGTCTCCAATTGAAGGACAACTATAAGTACAAGCATGGAGGGGCATCTAGATGGCGAGCGCAAGGACAACTGTAATGTAAAATTTCTCCCAACTTAAAGCAAGGCATGCCTTCTTCCAATAAAGGCATTGTGGCAAAACTTCTTAATTGGTTCGTTTGTTCAGCTGTCATCTCTACGAACAGCTGATCTCACACAAACAAAACCCTGGCAATGAGTAGTAGAGGTTGTGTGCTCTTTTTCTTGTTGAACTCTTGTTGTTTTGTGTAAGGATAAAAAATTATACAGGTTAGTATATTGAATGACAGAGCGGAGCCACGCGCTTGGGGAAACACTACTCCTCCAAAGCAGGATGGCGCGAGCGCTTGACCCGATATCTTTTTTTTTTTTTTTGCAGGAAAAGTAAGTTTCGTTTTTTGTACAATGGTAAGAATTCTGGGGAAGTATAAATGATATACTTTGGTTATGGTGCCTGAATGAGTCTCCCACTGGTGTGTTGACACTAATGAGTGGTAGGGGCGAAAAAAGAAAGCACGGTTTTTAGTAAGGGGCATGCTTACATTAGAATCTTATCGTGTTATTAGCAGAGCACCGGATGAGAATAAGGTGCCTGCTCCAAATGTTCATCTTCCTGTCCCAAGATGGACTTTTGGCTTCTCCAGAGGCTGCCCCAAAATGACACGAACCAGTCACATCACTGCGTAATATCATAGCCCTGTCTCATCACTGCACATGACTGAAGGAAAGAAAGCGACGAGATACGTCCACACCATCGCTTGAACTTGGCGCTAAAGGAGCGCGAGAATTCTCGTCTGCTGTTTGAAAGGAAAGGCGCCAGAAATGGCGCACTCTCGCAGGAAACGCGCCCTCGTAGTCAGATTCTGCGCATCCCTTAGCAAAAACTAAGACGATCGAAATATACCACATTCTAATTTGAGTGTATTTCAAGTACACCTCATAATTGTAAATAAACAAAAAAATATAGACCGAAAATATACACTTATTGTTTTTTAACTTAGTACTAAAATATATTTCTGAAACTCTTTTTAAAATACCTATATTTAAACTGCATTTGAAGGTCCCTTCATGCCTTCGGAAATATGTAAATAAAAAATTAGTACGCACAAGACATCTTTCACATAGATTTCTTAAAATATTTATTTATTTCATGCAAAAGAAACTCCAACCCTAGTAAAAATGCAGCGATCAAAAATATGTGCAGAATACTCTTAAAATACCTGGCAATCGTAAATGCTGTTGTGTTACACTCTAAGTATCTTTTGACTGCAATATTTTGGTAGTTTGACTTAAACTGATAAAAGTATTAAAAAGCTCGCTCATAAGAAGTTCACTTCAAGCGGATGTGGAGTACACTAAAGTGCCTAAATAAAACATTTGTTTAGCTTGTCAATTGAGTTGTGCAGCATCGCACTGCAGCATAAATCAGCCCAGTTTATGTTATTGTTTCCTTTTTCTATCCAGAACACACCTGATGAGTTTCTTGGACACCAACCACAATAGGAGTTCGTGAACTACAATCAGAACACTTGCTGATGCTGGAAAGCTTCAGCAAATGCTATATACTCATGAAATACAAATATCCTTCGTGTTATGACTTAGTAGTGGGAGAAACTGGCAGAGTGCCGCGATGTTTTTTTACTATTTTTCTCTTCTGACAAACCGGCAGATCCGTTTATCCTCGTGGCATTTTTTACTGAAGGGGCGAAAGCGCCCTACCACTCCCAAGGCGCTGAGCAAGAGCGACACTAGAGAGCGCGGGGAAACGACCTCGGCTCAAAGGTGTAACGTCACGACAAAGATTATCAGCTACTACGACTAACACCCATGGTCTCTAAAATGCACGGCGAAGGCTTGGGATAATAGCACTCTAAAATAAACACCGTCGAAGCTGAGAGGTCGATATTGTTCATATTACCGCCGATAAACATGATTTAGTGAAAAGCGCTTCTGCCGTTTTCTATATTTCTTTTTGGCGTTCGAATATGATGAATGTGTAGCCCCACGTGGCATGGTCTGAACCAGCCAAGTAGCTTTGTCCACTTTCAGCCGAATTTCACCTACGGGCAGTTGTTTCCCCAACGGCGCAATACAATCATTTTACTGGGTCTTTTTCTAAGTAATGACTTTTCGTCACTCAGGTCACCGAGAGCGTCGGTGTACTCGTCTTGTCAAGGTTAGCCAAACAGGGATTAATCGCACTTTCATCAACGAAAATAAGTGTAATGCCACGTTTCCAATATTCCAACAGGAAGGAATAAACAGACAAAGGATGAGAAACACAGACGAACACATTCAACTCACAACAACAGTTTATTTGAACGTCGTTTGCCCGGGGGTATTCGCGCTTGTAGCGAAAGGTAAAAAATTGGAGTGTATGTGTGTGTGTGGGGGGGGGGGGGGCGGCTAGAGGCAACGGAAAGAAAGGAAGAGGATGACCGGGACTTTACCCTCACGCGTCCCGCAGTCAAGCGAGCTCGGTTTTTAGGTAACCTATATCCCACTCCGGATGGCGAAGGACTCAAAAACCCACTCCGGATGGTGAAGGACTCAACAACCCACTCACTGTTGGGAGGGCACCTGGCGGTGCCCTCCCAACACGCGGGTTTCCTCAAACTTGGGCCTGCAACACACACGACAGCTGCGATGCTCGCACGAGCGGCGATGAATAGCTATTGGGCGCGCCGAGTCCTCAGCAGGCTCGGCCACCTCCCTCGCGTGCTCCCTCGGGCGATCATTGAGGCAGTGGCCAGTCTGGCCGATATACTGTGCTCCACATGAAAAGGAAATACTCTAAATTATCTCCCTTACACATTACCACCCTCCTCGCAACACCCCGACTGTGCAGGCTAGCTCGCCCCCCCCCCCCCTTCCCTCTCCCCCATTCGTTGGTGCACTACTGCCCCTACTGGAACACCACGTCCGTGGTGCGTTGGGGGAGCAGTGGTGACTCGAGCCGGGCACCGGACAATGGTGTGAACAATAAAGTTTCCTTTCTCTCTCTCTACACAGAACACGTAAGGGTCGCTGGGTTTCTTAGTGCAGGATGATTAGGTTGAGAGATCGTTAACCTGACGGCACATTTGTATTAGTTTGAATCTGCCGCTGAACACAACCCTGACATCAAACCGCGAGGCGAGTGCCTTAAGGCGGTCGGCGTTGTCGTGCGCACACGGGATGACGGCAAAAGGTTTTCTTCTGGGTCGTCTTTGCGCCTAGGAGGGAGCTTTGGGAGCTGATATCAATCTTTTTAGGGAGGCCTCTTAAAGAAGCTTAGGATAATCGGTTTCCTTCAGCCTGTCGATCTGGAGCAGAATGCAGTGCCCTGCAAAATGGGAACATGTTTTAGATCGGGAAGAGTGCAGGAAAGATTTTAGAATTCCTAGCTCGATAATTTTTGAGTGGTCGCTAGCGAAAAAGAGGGCCGGCTTCTGAGAACGTTGCCTGAATTCCCACCAAATTCCTCCTGCGCGCTGAAGTAGGTTAAGTTCTAGGTACTGGAGGTCACTCTCCGACGGGTCCTCCCTTTCGAAGGTAAGGCAAAAGGATCTAGACGTGAATGCTTTCAAAATGGTCTCAGGGGCGGCGTGCTCTTGGCGAATGATGAGGTAATCATCGACGTAGCGAAACAGGATATCATCTCGGGCCGGACCTATCCAGCACTGCCTTGATGAACCGATCTACTTAAATGAGAAATTTTCCACTTATCACAGGTGTCAGGCACGTCCCGATGCACACCCCCGACCTCTAAATGTGCACCCCTCCCTCGTATTCCACAAGTGTAGATCGCAGGTGGTGGTTAGGAAGTGAAAGAAACCTTTTAACGGAGATTCCCGAGGAGTTGTGGAACCTGCACGGGTAATTTTCGTGTATGGTGCTGGTAACGGACTCCATGAGAAAGGAGTTGGTCATCCGGAAAGGTTTGAAGGTGTCAGGGTGGAAAGGTGATAAAGCAGAAAGGCAGCCAAACTCTTCTGCCAACCGCCGTTCTCTGAGATTATACTGGGGAGCGGAACGTCAGGTTTATGTTTTGCCGCGAAAACACAGTGGGATACTGCTTGGTAGACGAACCTGTAATATTTTTTTTAAGAAGGCAGGTTGAAACTCACACAGAGGTCTTTAGCTTCGGATCTCAAAGACCCCGACGGCATACTTTTGAGTGACAAAAAGTCTTTCCCGAAGGAGGCGTCCAACCTTCCGGCCGAAAAGACCCACGTCCATAATGACGGAAACTCCCGTATAGGTTGTGCGGATATTTAAACAGCGTGTAGTTGGTCAGCCATTTCAAAGGTGCGACGACTCACTCGCTGTAGATGATAAATTTAGCCAGTGCAGTACGACCACTAGCCTGGGGTCTTTAACGTGCACCACGCAGTAGACATACACGACCGAACGCCAATACGATGTTCATGCACATCGAAACGGGCAGGGGTGGGGATTGAGCCCAGGATTCCTGGGTTCTGCAGCGCGACTTTTCGCTCTACGTGCTCTGAGCTGGTGTGCGCTTGCCTACTCGGCCACCGATTTCCCCTCAAGGGTAGGAACAATATAAGAACTTCACTGAACGCGCCTAGATACTACGAGCCCTAGCTCAATCCCCTCGCCTGGAAGCCTGTCATGTCCGCTCGTGAGATTATGAAACGCGAACTGTTTCAATTCCAGGACCTCAGAGTCATTATTTCGAAAATAACATGCTGTGCTGTCCCTCGCCATCGCTCATTTGGAAAGCCTCTAAGCAGAAGGGTCGAATGAGAAAGACGGGGAGGGAATCTTCTCAGTGGCGTTGAAGGAGAGTGGGGAAGCGATCACCCTAGCCCCAGACCATAGCCTCCTATATCGCAGACATTTCAGGATGGTATAGTAAAAAAAATCGAGGAAGGATTATCCCCTTTCTTCACTACCATCACCCCCCCAAATTCCTTCTCACTCTTCTGAAGGGAAGATTTTGGCCTCAAATGAGTTCTTCAGAAAGT